CTAAGTTTGTTGTCTATAATAATCCCTAAAAATTTTGTCTCATTAACTATTTCAATTTTAACTCCATTTATACATAAGTTTATATCGTTATAGACCCGATTACCAGAGAATACCATCAATTTAGTTTTCCCTTCATTTAACGACAGTTTATTATAATCAAACCATGTTTTCAACTCAGCTAACTCTTTTTCTATCGTTTTTATTATTTCATCCAAATTTTCTCCAGAAAAAAAATAGATTTGTATCATCAGCAAATATGATAAACGTTAAATGACTGGAAACTGCAAAAATATCATTTAAATGAAGTATAAATAATTTAGGTCCTAGGACTGAGCCTTGAGGAAGACCAAATTTTACTATGCCTGTTTGTGACTTTGTGTTATTGATTTGTACATATTGTAATCTATTACTTAGATAACTTTTTAACCACTGGTATGTAACCCCCCCGTAGGCCATACAGTTCACATTTACCTCATAGTCGTGCATGATCAATGGTATCAAATGCTTTACATAAGTCAATAAACACACCTATAGTATTGAGTTTCTGCTCAACTGCTACAGCAATGTGCTCCACAAACTCCATCACAGCTAAAGTTGTGGAGCAGATGTTCCTGAAGGTTCTGGAGCAGAAATCTGCAGCTGCTCACATAATAATAAAAAAATATATTTTTGTCATGTCATGGTTACCACAGCAAGATGTTTGGAGAAGTCAAATTAAGTTTTTAGAACCTAAAAACTGGAAACTCAGTCATGGTTGCTGCCACAAAACAAAACAAAAACCCTAGGGGAGATTTCTTCAATCAGGACCATAAACCTGACATATCTTAATCGCAGAAAGGTAAGGTTTGCAGAGCTCTGAATGAGAGCAGCAAGTCATCTGCATACAGGGAGATCTGGTATCCATGATACAAAGACAAGGAATGAAGGATATTAATACATCTTTGTGTGACTTAGGAACAAAGAACATCCTTATGATGGAACATTTGTCTGTTTTTAATAAAGCCAGTTTGCTTCTCCATGAGTTATGAATGGAAAAAAAACCTTTTTTTTCTAATCAGTATACAACATTTTACACACAATCACAGTATACATCGAGTAGACTTATTTGCCAACTTTGCTGCCTTTATGAAGCAATGAAGCGGTAAAAATGTAGAATGAAAAATATCTACTTTTAAAGGATCAGTAAAAAATGCCCTTTGAGGCCTTGGAGCATCTGAACTTGACATGACTTTGGAGGAAAAGTTAATAGAGAAGAGTTTGTTTTAACACTTATGACACAAATAACATGACTGATGAAAAATAACATCAGCTTCTTGGCAGCACTGATATGAACTACTTGATTTAATTAAGTTCTCTTTTGTTTCAATGAAGTATTTTTGAATTTGAAATACATCTTTCTGTAGAATAACTGGAGAATATATGAGAATAAATTGATGAGAAAAAATTTTAAGCAGTTTTTTTGGAGAAATTATCTCAAAGACAAAACAATTCCCATTGTAAAAAGGGTAATACCAACCAAATGTTAATTTAAAGATTTCCCGGTCTAACGGTTTACAGAAGGTTAAAAACACATTTTGTGTCAAATCAGTAACATTCAGCAGGAAAGTGCTCTAGATGTAATGGTTTGCATTTTAGTTATGTTAAGATTGCCTCTGAATGCTGCAGCAGGTGGTACCACAAAGAGGCCGCAAACTGACCCAGAATATTAAAGGTGGTTGCTTTTCAAAAGACAGAATTATATGAAAACGATAATTAAATCTTTACTTAAGAAATCGTCTCTTGA